TTCATACTACTATACAGTTTCAAAGTACTTCAGTGTTTCTGACGCAACATTAAGGCAATGCTGTGTTGTAAGACTTTTTATTTTCACTGAGGAATAATCATCTCTGACTGTGGAAGAAACATGGGCTCATATCAATAAAGCACAAGTCAAGCTGATGCTGTTTCTTGCAATAATGGAGTTTCTCTGAAAGACAATGTGCAACTAACTTGGAAAAGTGTATCTAGACTTGAGGCCACTCTGTGTTGACCATTGCTTTCAATTACCAACTCCTGATTTACACCTTCCCAGAAATAAAGCGCTGTTCGCCAAGCAAATAAACGGCACACGAATATAAATGTGAAGGCAGCTTCCACATTCTACTTCCTGTCCCACTGACCTATTGAATGTTATTCGGTGCTCATTGTTCTGACGTAATTCAGTCGGTACCTTATAAAGTACCATGTTTGATACACAACAGTGCAGACGTGTACAAATAATTTCTGCTGGTTAACGTGTTTACTTTACAACATGTCTTCTTCCTCAGCCGCCATTTCAATTTGTTTGTTTTTATTCAATTCAATTCAATTCAATTTTATTTGTGTGGCACCAAATCCTAATATCCATGATCTCCAGACTCTTCACAGAGAAGGTGAAGAGCTTCAGATCTTCTTCATCTAGAGAAACCAACAGGTGAACCATGAGCAGCACTTTGAGTCTGTGGAGGAGAAACTCCTCATTAACAGAGAGAAACCTCAAGAACCAGAGTCAGTGAGGAGACATCTGCCTCCACCGGGGGAGGAGAGAGACATGGGGAGGAGAGAGACATGGGGAGGAGAGAGGGGGGGAGGGGGGGGAGAGAAGAGAGACTGGGAACACTGGAGCACCATCAGGTATCAGCTCTGACTAGTTCTAATGAAAACAATAACAGTGTAAAGAAGTTATTGATTATTAATGATAAGAGGCACAATTCCTATGATAATTAATTACTGATAAGCATTTTTGTTCATTATAATAATATTAATAATAATAATAGTTGTTGTCCTGCAGTTCTGGAGTCAGAGATATCTGCAATGGGAGAAATAAGAAGCATAGTTATTGACATGTATTAAAATAAATAAATGAATGTGGGGGGGCAGAGAGAAGTGGAGAAGTGCTCAGTTCATAATGGGAGTTCTCCCTCAGTGCATGCTGGGAGTTCTCCCTCAGTGCATGCTGGGAGTTCTCTCAGTGCATGATGGGAGTTCCCCTGTAACAGGATCTTATGATCTATGGTGTCAAACGCTGCACTAAGATCCAACAGGACGAGGACAGAGACAAGTCCATCATCTGAGGCCATGAAAAGGTCATGAGTGACTTTTAACAGCTGTTTCTGAGCTGTGATGGATTCTACATCCTGACTGAAAGTTTTCCAACAAACGTTTCTATCTGAGTCGTCACACAGCTGGTTAGCAACAGCTTCCTCTAGGATTTTGGAAGTGAAGGTATGATTTGGGTCCGTAATGAGCTCAAACCTCTGGTATGTAGCCACACATCTCTGTTGAATGTTGGTGAAACGTACTTCAGGTGCATGTTGCCATGAAGTGTGACAAACTGAGATGCTGCAGCAGAACAACCTGAGCTGTTCTCTGTAAAGTCTCGATCGTGGTCACCTTGCACCATCCATCATTCTTTAATCGCAGGTGTCACTTCCTGAAATGATGCCCTGCTCGTTTTACAATGACACTCACTGCTACGACAAAATGACTGATGACTGAGCATCAGCACAAACTGCAGCAGTAAATAAAAAGATTAAAGCTCGGAGCCTGTCTGCATCATCGAGTCGAACATGGTATTATCACATCAACTCACAGGATGTCAGAAACAGTGGTTATATTATAAGTCAGTATGTATATATGTATTAGTTTTCTGAGTATTACATGCTACTACTTATTACTTTACTGACTTTTGACTGCCCTCTTGTGCTGTGATGTTTCCTCGCTGTGGGACTAATGGATGTTAACAAACTGTTAATAAACTGGTTGGTTGATTTGTGGCCCCTGATGTCTCAGGCCTGCTGTGTACAACAATGACATAGAAAGTGGACATCTCCTGTTGGACACGTTCTCAGTGAATCCACTGCTCACCCTTTGTCTGGTTCTGTTATCAGAGGCTGGATTGTTGTTAGCCGACATGTCTCCACATTGAACTCCACATCTCACCAAACCTTGACCGTCCAGAGACAGAAGCAGCTGGTTGGACAGACGACGGCAGATAAAAGTATTTGCTACATATCATTAAATAAGTGGAGAACAGAAAACAGCCCTGTGTGCTGGAGGAGCTGTGTGAGAACAGAGGAGGTGAATCCAGTCTATTGTGTGTTTGTCAGCCAGTGATTCGTTCCTCCAAACTCTAGTACCTGAGAATGAAACTGGAGATGGATCCTGATCCGAGTTAACAGGTTAGAACCTAACCCCATGATCTGGATGACTGATGTTTCCATTGCTAAGGACACTGACCAGCGACACTGACCAGTAACCAGTTTGATCACCTGTTAGCTCAGTTCCCCAAGCTTTGTACAAGTTCAGATGTTCCTGTGGAACCACAACACGTTCCCCACAGCAGCAGTTACTTCAGCTACCTGCACATCGCTCAGTGTTTCTAAGACAAGTGTACAGTTACTGCAATGTGTACGATGCAGTAACTGTACTACGGTAACTGTAGTACAGTTACTGTAGTCGCTTCAGGACACTGTCCTCATCTCAGAAAAAACACACACACATATACACACGCAGGAACAACACTGCCCTCTAGTGACTCAACTGCATCATCACAATCACTGCAATGGACATTTCTAACATTTCGTCAAAGTGACCACTTGGTGGCGCTCCTTCACACATCACAACTGTTAAACTGGAATCTCATTTGAAAAACAAGTTTCTCTGTGAGTTACAAACTCTCCATCACTGTTGAGCTTTGTTACTTTACTGGAGTGTGGTAAATATAATGTTCTGTGTGTATCTGTGGGTCATATAGATCCATTGTAAATTATATTTATGTAATAATGTGAAGTGAACATGTTCAGTCATAGCGATAGTAATAACAATAATTAGTACAGTAAAAAGTACACACATGTTCTAAAGATGAAGTACTACTGACACTGAAGTTAATATGCTAAACTAACATGTGCCGATGGAGATTTGAGTTCATTTAGAACAAATTTACAGCAGAAGGAAGAAGTTCAAAGTGCTGGAGGTGATTTTTGTCGTCTGATAGAAACGTCTCCTTACAGATGTTCTCAGAGGAAACAGAGAGGAGGATCTGAGTCCGTCACTTCATGACTCTGATTCTGTCCTAGAGATCAACATTATAGTTAAAGCAGCATTTTCAAATTCTCAGATTGAATGTGCTGCTTTATCTGGAGCAGCAGCTCAGTCTTTGTGTTTGGGACGGAAACTAAATCAACTGTGAGTTGAAGGTAAAACTCAGAGAAATGAGATTTAACAAGGTTTAATATTTGAGTCTAGAGGACTTAACGAAAATAAGAAAATGACAGAATATTGTCAGTATCATTCACTCAACTTTTATCTCTTAATGTTCTACCTGCACATCCTCTATATTTACAATCACTGACGTCTGAATTTATTTCAATTTAACACGATTATCATGATGAATATAACTCACAGTAACTCAGCTACATGTTGTGTGTTCTGGATCATCTCAGGTTCCTTTTAAAGTCGTCGGACACTTCGTCAGGACATCGTGGACAAAACCGTTTGTTTCTGTGGTGACTCTGACGTCAACACAAACCACAGATGATGCTGAAACAATAACCTGAACCTTTTAAGGCTCGTCAGTACCTTTAAAATCTACTAGAGAATGTTTCTGCTCGATTCTAATGGGAAAAAAAATGTCTGTATATTTATTGTGTTTGCAAATACAGCGTCTCAAAATCAAAATACATGATAAATTCATTCAAATTGTGATTAATTATATCACAGGCTTGAGTCATCAACTCAAAAAACTTTACACAAGTGACACAAGTTTTACTGATGAAGAATATTTGACATCACCAAGACAACGCACTGAGGTTTTAATGATGCAGCTGTGTTCAGTCATCAGCCACTAAATTAAATAAATACCTGAATCATGTTTTCTTCTGTAGAGATCGATGGAGGAAACTTGATTATTTGCAGTAATGGTTTGGTTGTTGCAGTCAGAGCCGCTCAGACGGAGCTTTCGTACAAACTGTTGGATATTTTAAAATCACTGCTGCAAACCTTTTTATCATCAATAAAGTTTTCAACACTAAGATATAAACTCTATAGGAGGAAAACCATAGTGGATATATGCAGGTGCACTTCTCACATTGTTTGGTCGAGGTTCATCATTTTATTTTTAAGTGTAAAGAATATCTTTATATACTGAAAACATCAGACTGATTTTGGATCAATGTGTGATTTTTTGTTTATTGCCTTTAAACATGATTCTCAGACTGTTGGTCCCAACATTACCAAGCTCCTGATAAATTCATCAGTTAAAGGTTCACAGTGATTCAGGTGAAAGGATCTATTGGCACAAACTGAATATAAAATAATCCAAGTGATGTTTTCAGTGTGTTCCATCTCAGTTTTATCTTAGAATGGGGCCTTTATATTTAAATACTTTATATTTACATCGGACAGAATGTTAATGTGTACATAGAGGCCGCCATGTTTTGTACGGTAGCCCAAACTAGACAAACTAAACACCTTTTGAGTTTTTATGACAACTGAAGGCCAACTCAGGTTCTTTTTCATATTTGGAAGGCAAGTGTGAGTTGAGGGATATTCAAATGCAACATGCAACATCACCACTAGATGTCACTAAACTCTACACACTACACCTTTAAAATAAATCAACGAACTCCACAGGAAAATCCACAACAGTTTCCTTTGCATTTTATTTCACTTAC